CGCCAACTCCCATATAGTCCTCTCTTCTTCTCCCAATTTACCCAGCTGAGAGAGTGTAGTGATGCGGGCGAGAGGCATGGTGCAGGTCTCGCTCAAGGTGATAGCGATGACGCCAGCGAGGGGGAACAACAACAGATTGGTCAAGAGAGGGTCGAAATTGATTCCCCCAAAGAAGACCTGTTCCTCCAAGTGATAATCGACACAAAATAGATCGAAACGGAACCGAAACAAGACACGATTTACGTGGTTTCCTCGTTCAGTATGAACGAGACTAGTCCACGGCCGAAGCACACAATTCTATATTCAGCTTGAGTTCATGTTACAGGGTACATACATATATATAGGCTACACATATGAGAACCCTAGAGATAACCCTAGAGATGAATCTCGGCCGACTAACCTACATATATAATGGGCTTATAACCAATCACCTAACCCAAGACAAGCCAATACAATTGTGGGCTTCGTACTAGAAGGCCTATTACTTAACAGCCTCCCCCAAATTGATGGGGTTACACAACATCAATTTGCTAGCCAGATAAGAGTGTCTACTAGCAGTAAAGGCCTTCGTAAACAAATCGGCTACCTGATCCTCAGATGATATATAATGAAGACATATTGTGCCATCTCGAACCAAATCCCTGATGTAGTGTAGATGAACCTCAATATGTTTTGTCCGATTGTGCAGTACTGGATTAGTTGCTATCTGAATAGCACTTGTATTATCCACAAACAGCTGCATGGGAGTGTCGCATATTACACCTAAATCACCTAGCAGGCGACGGAGCCATTCAAGCTCAGAAGTAACGTCGGACATGGCTCGATACTCTGCTTCAGTAGAAGATTTTGATACTCTATCCTGCTTCTTACAACGCCAAGACAGGAATGAGTCTCCAAGCCGAATACACCACCCAGTAGTAGACCTACGAGTATCCATACACCCAGCATAATCAGAGTCTGAGAAAGCCTGTAAATCACACGTACCAGTGGATGGAAGAAGCAATCCAACACCACGAGTTCATTGTAGGTATAAAAGCAAACGACGCACAACATCCATATGAGCCGTACGTGGTGTGGCCATAAACTGACTAACTATCTGCACAGCATATGAGATATCAGGACGAGTAGAAGTCAAATAAATTAAACTCCCTACGATAGTACGATATTGCTTCCCCCCATCCTCCAAAGGATCGCCCGATTCCTTGCTCAGTTTGAGGTTTAATTCCATCGGTGTAGAAGCAGGTAAACAGTCACTCATGTGTGCAGAATCAAGAAGATCATCCACGTAATTACTCTGGTGAAGGAGGATACCTTGCGGAGACCGATGAATCTCCAGCCCAAGGAAATAAGACAAGGCACCAAGTTCTTTAAGATTAAAGGAAGCATGCAAACCCTTCTTAAGAGCCTGAATACCATCAATATCATCACCGGAGACAATCATGTCATCCACATAAACCAGTAGAACCACGATACCCCGAGAGGAATGCGAAGTGAAGAGAGAAGGGTCGTTCAAGCTCTGCTGAAACCCAAGACCAACAACAGTCTCCTGAAACTTATCGAACCAAGCACGAGGTGCCTGTTTTAACCCATAAAGAGAGCGACGAAGCAAACAGACCTGATCTGCCGTACCAAATCGATATCCAGGAGGACGTTCCATGTACACAGTCTCCTTCAAGTCACCATGCAAAAAGCATTCTTGACGTCGAGCTGAAATAACGGCCACCCTCGGAGAGCAGCAATAGCAAGCAGAGACCGGACCGTAACCATTTTTGCTACAGGAGCAAATGTCTCCTCAAAGTCAACTCCATATTCCTGAGCAAACCCTTGGGCGACAACACGAGCCTTATTGCGCTCCAAGGTACCATCCGGTCTGACTTTGATTGTATATACCCAGCGACTCCCGATGACCGGAACAGAAGGAGGAGGCCGCTGTACAAGATCCCAAGTGTGGTTTGCATGGAGTGCGTCAACTTCGTCATCCATCGCCTTGTCCCATTCAGGAATACCATGGGCTTGAGAAAACCTGGTCGGAACAAAAATGGGCTCAACATCAAACGCAACATAATCCTGCAGCCGAGAAGGGAGCTGCCCAAGGTTGCGGCGAAGAGATCGTCGAGGAACTGGCGGAGGAGAAGGCGGTGGAGAATCTATTGCTGACGAAGAAGAGCTGACCTCCGAGCCTGAAGGAGTAGGGCTGCCAGGAAAGGAAGGAGGGGAGTCGTGGGGGTAGCGTGTCATCATCAAGGGCTAGGCCAGCCACATCATCGTCATCGGTGAACGAGGGAAGATCAACATCAGTAGAAAACAAAGGGGACGGATGTGTGGACGAAGGGTAATACATCAAATTTTCGAAGAACACGACATGACAAGTAATACGAAGACGTTGGGACACTGGATCAAAACAGAGATACCCTTTGTGAATATCACTGTACCCTAGGAAAACACAACGAACTGTCTTAGATGTAAGCTTGGTACGTTCCCGGCTAGATAGAAGAGCAAAACAAACGCAACTGAATACTCTAAGACGCGAATAAGGGGGCTGGACACCAAACAAGCAGTAGTATGGACTCGATTGACCTAAGATAGGAGTGATCTAATAGTTGATGAGACGAACAACAGTGGCAACAGTCTCAGGCCAGAAACGAGAAGGGACACGAGAGGCTAATAAGAGAGCACGAGTAGTTTCAACGACATGACGATTTTTACGCTCAACCAAACCATTTTGTTGAGACACCCTAGGACAAGACTTCTGAGTTAAAATTCCCAATGACTTATATAACTCAAGAAGAGGAGTAGAACTAAATTCCCCACCAGGATCAGAACGAATGTCTTTCCAAACTGCGTTTTGATCATAGTGAGAAATTCAGTAGCAACAGAAAGCAAATCAGACTTAAGTCGAAGGAAATAAACCCAGGTATATCTTGTGGCATGATCAACAAATAAGGCAAAGTACTTATACCCATGACGAGACGTGGTAGGACTAGGACCCCATAAGTCGGTATGAACCAAGTGAAGCGGATCAAAAATAGTGGTGGTACTAGAAGGGAAAGAAATTTTGGTCGCTTTAGCTTCAACACAACCAGTACACTGAATTTTCAAAGATGATCCGACAATATCATTACCAAATAATTTCTGTTTAAACATTGTCGCAAGGCGAACAGAATTGGGGTGACCTAAACGAGCATGCCACAAATGGAATTTTTGTTCACCCATACTCGAAAAAACAGGAAAGGACAAAACCCTAGACACCGAGTGAGACGAACCACTCCTAGACACCGAAATGGAAGGGGAAATATCCGACAACGACGAATGTGATGTAGCTGGCAAATCTTGAAGCTCATCCAAGTGAAAAACACGACCAACCTTGCTACCCCGCCCGATCTCCCTCCCTGTCTTCAGATCCTGAATAGAACATCCATGTGGAGCAAAAACAACACGACAATCATGTTCAGTGAGTTGACCAACGGACACCAAGTTTGGAACTAAACTAGGTACATGTAATGTGGTAGGAAGGGATATTTTTGAACTATGCACCGAACCAATACCATTAACACCCATCCATTGTCCATTAGCAACTTGCAAACTCATATGACTAACAGGGCGAATATTATCAATGTCAGATGCACGACTAGTCATATGATTAAAACATGCGGAGTCGAGAATCCAATGAGAGAATTTACCCGATGCTTGAAGGCTGGAGAAGGCAGAACTGATGGCCTTATTAACGAGTTGCTCCAAAGACTCAACAGAGATCGAACCCCCAGCATTAGCACCGGCTGGAGTTGCGGCGAAGGCAGGATGAGATTGCAAGACACCAGACCCTTCACCACGTCCTTCAGCACGACTCAACATCAAACGGCAATCAGGCACTATATGCCCGGACTTCTTGCAATACACGCAAAAGTTGCGTTTGCGCAGTACTTCTTCGTGTGACCTTTCTCCCGGCAGTGATAACATTCGACATCGGAGGACATAACCCGACGCTGAAACTGGGACCTATGCGCAGCGAACACAGCATCATCAAAACGTGCCCCATCCGACGGAGCTCCTTTGACATTATTGACAGTCGACTTGGCAGCAATAGTCGACTTGGCAGCAACAGAGAACGTTGACAAGTTATTCCCGCCGCCTGGGCGAGCATCAAGAAGAGCTTGCGTACGAAGACGGGTCTCCTCCCGTATCAAATCACCAAGAACCCCTTCAATCTTCAAGTTCTCCCGGTTAAGAAGGGTAGCACGGACAGGTTCGAACTCAGGGTTGAGGCGCATCAAGAAGTGAAGTAGCCGGAGCCGATCACGTCCAGTTTTCGCACCTGCCGAAACACCGGCCGGAAGAAGCGAAGCAGATACGAGGTCCTGCTCAGCCCAGATTTTCCGAGCAGCCCCATAATATGTCGCCACGTCCTGATCGCCTTGAGTGAGATTGGAGAGTTCAACCTCGAGTTCGAACTGGCGGTTGACACTGGTCGTCGCATAAGTCTCCGTGAGAGACTTCCACATCTCTGCAGCGGTAGATAAAGCACGTAACCCTAACACAATAGTGGGTTCAACAGAGGTTAAGATCCATGATTTTACCCTTGCATCATTCTGTATCCAGTCAGCAAGATCCTGTTCAGTGGCGGGCGGAACAACAGGCCGAGCCTTGCTACCATAAAGGAATCCGAACAAACCCTTCCCTTCCACATGCACACGAAACTGAAACTCCCATAGAGCAAAGTTCATCGAGTTGAGCTTAACCGAAACACGATCTGAATCCATCGGCTCTGATACCATGATAATCGACACAAAATAGATCGAAACGGAACCGAAACAAGACACGATTTACGTGGTTTCCTCGTTCAGTATGAACGAGACTAGTCCACGGCTGAAGCACACAATTCTATATTCAGCTTGAGTTCATGTTACAGGGTACATACATATATATATAGGCTACACATATGAGAACCCTAGAGATAACCCTAGAGATGAATCTCGGCCGACTAACCTACATATATAATGGGCTTATAACCAATCACCTAACCCAAGACAAGCCAATACAATTGTGGGCTTCGTACTAGCAGGCCTATTACTTAACACCAAGAACATGCGGCACTCCAGAATATAGCGGATGCTGACCATGGCTGCTTTTTTCCCTTTGCAATCTACGCAATCGTGCCCACGGAACAGGCGCTCGATTCGGCGGTCGGCTTCATCCCATTTCCAGTTCCAGGGGGTCTGCTCCACTACCTCTTCCCAATAATTCCTTTGCTCCTCGTATTCAACCGCCCATCTGATAGACTCCATAATGCAGATGCTCCCTTCCGTGCACACCTCATCCCCCTTCCACTTCTTCCCCACAACATTCCAATTAGGGCAAAACACATCATAACGAGAAGGAATAAGCCATGCCCTACTCATCGTCGCGAACGGCCGGGAACTCTATATATTAATAATTATCGCGAAAACACCAGCTTATTATATGCAATTAATATGCAAGCACCCCCGCCTTGAGGTCATATACATATACTATATTAAAAATAATTTTTAATATAAAATATTTAAAATTGATCTCTTGTTAGATTTCATTTACATTAATAAATATTATTTTCTAATTTATTTTATTTAAAAATGATATACATAAAAGTAAGTTATATTTTCCAAAATAAAATTAAAATATGATAAATATAATCTTATATCTTCAAGACAGTTTTTCGCAGAAGTTTCAAATCTGAGCTTTTGCTTTTTTATGTTACACAAAATCCCTTTTCAGTTTTTCATAACCCAAACTTTTAGAGGCATTGACCTAATTTCAGCTTTGTAGCATAAAAGCACTTCTAAAAGTCAGATTAAACATAGACATATATTGGAGATGTATTCAATATATGTTTTGCACAAATATCTATTGGGAAACATTTTGTCAAGTGGTTAGACTATGCACAATGTGTCACAATATAGCATAAAAGAGTAGAATAATGATATAACATTCAAATAAGATACAACAAATAGTCCTAGACTATTATAACTAAGATTCCTCTTTTCATTTTTCTTAGTTTGGGAAAAGCCGTGAATATACCAAAGGTTATTATGTGTGGCTAACATTATATGTCTTTATACATCATAACATTTACCTACGGGTTTCATTAATGCATGCATGAGAATTCTTTTTTATTAAGATTACAAAATGCTGCTCGTAAGTTCCAATTTCAACGATTTCATTCGGTAAAAAATATAGCATTTATGGTGCACAGATTATGTGTTAATTGTTGCAAATGGATGATGAATGACTAAAAGTTACATCAGTTGTTTCATTCAATGCAAATAGGATGTAATAGTGACAAACACATATTTTAGAGTGTTAACAGTGACTCTCGTGCAAATTCGCATCCCGAACCTAAAATTTGGCTGAAACCTATAACTGACCTTGTTTGATGGTGTTTTCAAAAATTGGAATATCAGTATTATGGATTATTCCTTTTTTCCAATCAAATAAAGGATTGAAATCATAAGTTGCAGATTATCTAAGTATGATAGATAATATTAAATGGGCAAATAATACCTCGTATTGAAAGCATTTACCTTCCGAGATATCAAGGTCAACATAGAACACTGTTGAGTCAGAAGAAGATGAAAATTTACCTCCAAATATTTAACAAATCATTTTCTTTTGTTCACCACACCATATTAACAAAGGCTTAAAAGGAAAAATGGTTGTGCCTTGTTCCAAAACCTAAATTATCCACTATCTTGTCTGACGGTGGTATTATTCTTCCCCACGCAACAACTTTTTTTTTACAAAAGATAATCATATATTGATAAAAAAACAGATAGTTACATATTAGAATTAGCCAGGCCATAAAATCAAAAGATTGACATGAAGCCGGGTACAACACTAGGGCCTTTCTAGCCACTACATGGGCTACCCTTTTGTTACGACGGCCTACAAATCGTACACTAAGTCCATTATGAAGATTGAAGTAATACACGATCTCCTGAAGAAGAGCACTCATATAGCTATCCTAGTTATCGGCTTGATTGATCTTATCAATAACAACCTTAGCATCACCTTCAAGGCAAATCACCGGAACCTCCATTCGTAAACACCAAAGGATTGCCTCCCTGAGCACAAGCACCTCCACAACCATGGGATCATCCACATCCATAAGATGAATCCCCTGAACGAGGATAACATCCCCAGCACGCTCCCAGATAACCATCCCACCAGCCGAGTGGGAACCATACCTCGTCGCCCCATCCCATTGGCAAACCAAATCAGAGGGAGGTACCTCAGCCAGTGGTTGGGGGGGGGGGGGGGGTAGGAAGGATAACCTTACCAACTCGATCAAGCGGCAAGGAAACCCACTCATTATATTGCTGGTTAAACTGTCGCATGAGAGCCAGGATACCACATTGCTTGCCTTCAAAGACAACCCAGTTCCGTGATCGCCAGATTCTGTGCAATAACTGCCATAAAGAGATTAGGTTGGGTCAGCCGAAGCATTAACTTCTTCAGGAACAGGGGGAAAGTGTGACGAGGCAGCGCCTGCCCCAAATGACCCAGACCCGAATGATCCCATAAGGCCCTAGCAACAGGGCAACCCAGACCCGAATGATCCAGCTGGCTCTATCCATCCAACTAGCCAAATATTTTGATCTCTAATCACGCTGATCTAATAGAACAGCAAAGTGGTAAGCCGATTTAACTAAGAAGATCTCGTCTTATGTACCATGCCATATTAACCTATCTTCCACCGAGCGTCGAGGAAGAGGGATCATTTTAATTCCTCGGACCGTCGGCGGATCAAACCAAAGGTTTAGTTGAGCTTCACACCAGTGTCCCTCTTCCTGGAAAATAACCTCAGCCACCTTGAGCTCCTCATGAGGAATCACCTGGGGATTATAAACTGGGGAAAAGGATGCAAACAAGGAATCCAGCGTGAATCAAGCAAAGGAGTTGTTTGTCCATTCCCGATCTGCCAACGAAGACCTTGCAAAAGGAGCTACCGACCATAGAGAATACTCTGCCAACCCCATGAAGGACGAGATCGAGCAGTAGCCGTGAGGAAAGGCCATATATGGGTACATATATGTGCATTAAACAAAGTATTTACTAACTATAGTTCCAATAATATAAAAATTCTTGAAAAATTATATGAGGACTGAAAAACATCACACAAGGTCTCCAAACATTCTGCGATGACAAAAATCATTGCAGAAGCCCATAAACATTTCGCGAAGGAAGGCCATCGTCGCAGAAAGCCAGAAAGTCCCGAACATTCTGCGACGACCTATTATTGTCGCAGAAAATTTCCATACATTTTGCGACGAGAGAGAATTGTCGCAGCAAATCTCTATACATTCTGCAACGACAGAGAATCGTCGTAGAAAGGCTCCATACATTTTGCAACGAAAGTGATTCGTCGCAAAAAATTTCAATACATTCGGCGACGAAAGGGATTCGTCGCAGAAAGTCCGAAATATTCTGCGACTACCTACAATCGTCGCAGAATGTATGGAGACTTTCTGCGACGGTTTTCTATCGTCGCAGAAAGTCTCCATACGTTCTGCGACGATAGAGAACCGTCGCAGAAAGTCTCGATACATTCTGCGACGATAGAATACCGTCGCAGAAAGTCTCCATACATTCTGCGACGAAGGAAAACCGTGACAAAAAAATTTCACACGTTTTGCGACGAAAAAGTGAAATTCGTTGCAAATTTAACACTTTCTGCGACGAATATCTTATCGTCGCTCTAGAATTCGTCGCAGAAAGTGCAGTTTCTTGTAGTGCTATACGAAACCCAAAACCCAGTTGCAAACCGAAGAAACACTAGCCCTCGATCGACAATCTCCCCAAAATTCATACTCCCAAATCCAGGCGCCTCATCTGTCAACGGAGGAGTTCAATGCATCTTGAGCCGCCGCTAGGAGGGATGGTACCTGAGGGCTTCTTCTTCGCCACAACGAGGGGGCGATGGGACTCGATTGCTGAGGCGTAGACAGGAACTGGTGATGCGGTCCGACGTCTCCCACTCTCCTCCCTCTTCGAAGACGAGTATCGCCTGAGATAACAGAGACGGAGCAGCAACAACGGCAGCGAAACATGCCGTCTTAACCATCTATGGCGGCGGTATGAGAAAGGAGTGGCAGGTGGTGCAGTCGGCAACCTCTAATGGCGGCGGCAGCGAAGAGAGGTTTCCTCCTTCTCTAAGTCTCTAGTGATGGCTTGGAGTGGCGGCAACGATCGACGGAGTCAGGCTGGTGACTAGATCTGAAGGATCCGCAGAGAGGTGGCAGGTTCGGGTATCTTCTTCCTCTGGTTATAATTTGGTTGGAAAACTGCTCGGTAGACGTTGAGGAAGGAGAGAATTGCTGGCACTGGTGCGGCGACGGGAATCTGTTGGCTGAAGGCGGAGGTCGGAGAGGTGGGTAAGAGGCGACTACATCTCTTCTCTTTTGGTGAAAAAACGACATCTCTTCTATAACTTCTTAGATTGGAATTTTTATTTTATTGTTTTAAATGGTAATAAATAATAAGGTTGAAATTAATAAAAATACAAAAAAGTACAGTCAAACGGTTAGACTTTTTGACACATTATCGAGATTTGTCCAACTCAGCAATTAAATTGCAACATCTAAGGCAACTGACGGTCAATTGGATGAAAAGTTAATGATTTGGATATTATTTTATTTTTCGAAAGATTTGGTTATTATTTTGTGTAAAATGAAATGGCTATTATTGTATTTACCCTTTATAATATGTCAATTACTTATTAGTTACTCTTTCACTCACTCATCGATTTCGCTTAAAATCGTATGGCCGATTTCTTTGTTTATCCTAGACTTTACGAAAGGTTTGAGATTTGATGGTTTGATCGAGGTAGTTGCCGTCCTTGTTTTTCATTTGGATTTTGGTTTCGTGATACGCTAGAGGTGCAGTCAGTGTTCCCCATTCCTCAGGAGCTGCTTCATTACGCAAGTTTGGTGGTCCCTTCTAATCTATTTCGCACTTCCGGGATTTTTTCATTAGCCTTCTTTTTTATAGTAAGTTAATGGCTTTTTGTTACCCTTATAATCTATTAATTTTTACTTCACTTATCAATCCCACTTAAGGTTGTTGGATCGGTTTCTTTTGTTATCCCGGGCTTGCAGATGGTTGAGGATTGATGGTCGGGTCAAGGTGGTTGACTTATTGGCTTGTTGGACGTATTTTAGATTCAATGGTGTGCTAGATGTGTGGCTGGTGTTCCCTGTCCTTCGGGAGTTGCTTAGCTGCGCTGGTTTGGTGGTCAACTCGAGCTCCAACCATTTTAGCCGGTTTCTTTTGTGTTTTTTTAACTTCACGAGTTGTGTATTTAACCTTTTTTGATGAATTAGTTGTTTTTTCCCTTTGATCTCTTGATTACTTTTTTCCTTCACTT